TACATAAGGGGGGATATGATCACCATGTATAATACATAAGGGGGGATATGATCTCCATGTATAATACATAAGGGGGGGATATGATCTCCATGTATAATACATAAGGGGGAAATGATCACCATGTATAATACATATGGGGGGATATGATCTCCATGTATAATACATAAGGGGGGATATGATCTTCATGTATAATACATAAGGGGATATGATCTCCATGTATAATACATAAGGGGGGATATGATCTCCATGTATAATACATAAGGGGGGATATGATCTCCATGTATAATACATAAGGGGGGATATGATCTCCATGTATAATACATAAGGGGGATATGATCACCATGTATAATACATAAGGGGGATATGATCTCCATGTATAATACATAAGGGGGATATGATAACCATGTACAATACATAAGGGGGGGATATGATCTCCATGTATAATACATAAGGGGGGATATGATCTCCATGTATAATACATAAGGGGGCATATGGTCTCCATGTACAATACATAAGGGGGATATGATCATCATGTATAATATATAAGGGGGATATGATCTCCATGTATAATAAATAAGGGGGGATATGATCACCATGTATAATACATAAGGGGGGATATGATCTCCATGTATAATACATAAGGGGGGACATGATCTCCATGTATAATACATAAGGAGGATATGATCACCATGTATAATACATAAGGGGGATATGATCTCCATGTATAATACATAAGGGGGGACATGATCTCCATGTATAATACATAAGGGGGGATATGATCACCATGTATAATACATAAGGGGGGGATATGATCTCCATGTATAATACATAAGGGGGATATGATCACCATGTATAAATACATAAGGGGGGATATGATCACCATGTATAATACATAAGGGGGGGATATGATCTCCATGTATAATACATAAGGGGGATATGATCCCCATGTGTAATACATAAGGGGGGATATGATCACCATGTATAATACATAAGGGGGGGATATGATCTCCATGTATAATACATAAGGGGGATATGATCACCATGTATAAATACATAAGGGGGATATGATCACCATGTATAATACATAAGGGGGGATATGATCACCATGTATAATACATAAGGGGGGGATATGATCTCCATGTGTAATACATAAGGGGGGATATGATCACCATGTATAATACATAAGGGGGGGGATATGATCACCATGTATAATACATAAGGGGGGATATGATCTCCATGTATAATACATAAGGGGGATATGATCACCATGTATAATACATAAGGGGGGATATGATCTCCATGTATAATACATAAGGGGGGGATATGATCTCCATGTATAATACATAAGGGGGGAAATGATCTCCATGTATAATACATAAGGGGGGATATGATCTCCATGTATAATACATAGGGGGATATGATCACCATGTATAAAACATAAGGGGGGATATGATCTCCATGTATAATACATAAGGGGGATATGATCACCATGTATAATACATAAGGGGGATATGATCTCCATGTATAATACATAAGGGGGATATGATAATCATGTACAATACATAAGGGGGGGATATGATCTCCATGTATAATACATAAGGGGGGACATGATCTCCATGTATAATACATAAGGGGGGATATGATCACCATGTATAATAAATAAGGGGGGGATATGATCTCCATGTATAATACATAAGGGGGGACATGATCTCCATGTATAATACATAAGGGGGGATATGATCTCCATGTATAATACATAGGGGGGATATGATCTCCATGTATAATACATAAGGGGGGATATGATCACCATGTATAATACATAAGGGGGGATATGATCACCATGTATAATACATAAGGGGGATATGATCACCGTGTATAATACATAAGGGGGGATATGATCTCCATGTATAATACATAAGAGGGATATGATCTCCATGTATAAATACATCAGTGGTTCATATAGTGAACTCGGTGTAGAGCTATTCACCCTGAGGTCATCACAGAGGACAAGGGGGCTGTCAGGAATGGACTGGCCAGCAATAGTGGGACTCAGCTGCCTTATGAGCTGCAGTACCAGGGCTGGCCAGCGGGTGCTCCCAGCAATCAGAGACTCAACCTTGCAGCCAGTCAAACACCTGGAACTAATTATACTGGTGTATTTAAGGGACATTCAGACCTGCAGACTCTGCCTTGGTGTTGTGTTTCTCTTGGGCCCTGTATCCTGTTCCTGCTCTCTGTTCCTGTCTGATTCTCTGCTGACCCTGCTCTGATCCCTGGCTTGTCTGACCATTCTCCTCTGCCTGACCCTCTGTACCACGCTGCCCGCTACCTGCTGAACCTGGCCTGTGACCCCGACCATTCTCCGCTTGCTCCCCCTGTACCTACCTGCCCGACTGATATTGACCCGGCCTGCCTGACAACGTTTGCATTGTATGTACTGTTATCTGTGGGTGGTTGGTTGGTTTGTTTGCACTGCGTTATGTTTTAGTATTGCACTGCGTTTATGTTTGTATGGTTAGTGTTAATAAATTACATTGTTTATAACATATCTGAAGTCTGCGTTTCCCTGCGTCAGTCACACACCTCTGGTCATACCCGGGAGCCCTGACATTACACCAAGGCCAATCCTGACCAGAAGTGGCTGCACAGGGAAGCCAACGTGGCTTGTTGATGGGAAGGATGGATCTGGATGAGGTTGCGTATTTATATCTGCTAGTGTTTGATGACAGGGAGTATGCTTATCAAACTCTGAAGGAGTATCCCCGGGATGAACTGCTCGAATGTATTCGGCTCGCTCATGTTCTAGTAGATCAGGGCACAGAGTTCTCTGAGGTGCAGCCATTGATTCAGGTTTGTGCTGAGTAGAGATGAGCGAATTTTTCAAAAATTCGATTCGGCTGATTCGGCATTCCAGGAAGAAATTTGATTCGATGCGAATTAATTCGCTACGAAGTTAACTTATAAAAAGGGTTTCTAGGCTTCAGAGAGCCTTTAAATTAGTGCAGAACACTGTACCTTTAATTTAAATGCCCTTGGAGATGAGGAAGGAGAAGGAGAAGGAGAAGGAGAAGGATGAGAAGAAGGAGAAGGAGAAGGATGAGAAGAAGGAGAAGGAGAAGGATGAGAAGAAGGAGAAGATGAGAAGAAGGAGAAGGAGAAGGAGGAGAAGGAGAAGGATGAGAAGAAGGAGAAGGAGAAGGATGAGAAGAAGGAGAAGGATGAGAAGAAGGAGAAGGAGAAGGATGAGAAGAAGGAGAAGGATGAGAAGAAGGAGAAGGATGAGAAGAAGGATGAGAAGAAGGAGAAGGAGGAGAAGGAGAAGGATGAGAAGAAGGATGAGAAGAAGGAGAAGGATGAGAAGAAGGATGAGAAGAAGGAGAAGGATGAGAAGAAGGAGAAGGAGAAGGATGATGAGAAGAAGAAGGAGAAGGATGAGAAGAAGGAGAAGAAATGAGAAGAAGGATGAGAAGAAGGAGAGGATGAGAAGAAGGACAGTTCTGTGACAGTTTCTGTCTATTTCTGACAGTTCTGTGACATTCACTCCATACAGCGGTTTCAACCGCTGTATTGAGGGAATGTCCCCAGAACTGTCAGAAATAGTCTATTTCTGACAGTTCTGGGACATGTATGGAGTGAATGTCCCAGAACTGTCAGAAATAGTCTATTTCTGACAGTTGTGGGACATTCCCTCCATACAGCGGTTTCAACCGCTGTATGGAGGGAATGTCCCAGAACTGTCATAAATAGTCTATTTCTGACAGTTGTGGGACATTCACTCCATACAGCGGTTTCAACCGCTGTATGGAGGGAATGTCCCAGAACTGTCATAAATAGTCTATTTCTGACAGTTCTGGGACATTCACTCCATACAGCGGTTGAAACATTGTATCTATTTGTTTCCATAAATGACATTCTCCGGCTTGGAATTATTCTTATTTTCAGCCTACTTCTTCTTCTTCTTCTTCTTCATCCTCATCCTCATCCTCTTCTTCTTCTTCTGAGGATGAGGATGAAGAAGTAGAAGAAGAAGAAGAAGTAGGATGAAAATAAGAATTCCAAACCGGCAAAAAGTGTATGTGCAGAGTTCCTCTATTTCTGACAGTTCTCTGACAGCTTCTTCAGAAACATCTGTATCCTAAATGGAAACTAATAGATACAATGTTTCAACCGCTGTACATGTGTTCCTTCTGTCAGAGAACTGTCAGAAATAGCGGAGCTCTCTGCAGGGACACTTTTGCCGGCTGATCGAATTTTTTTTTTTCCTGAAATTCGTATCGAATTCCGGTTCGCCTGGTTCGATTCGCTCATCTCTAGTGCTGAGTTGAGTTGGTTTCATCTGGTACCCCCGAATGCAGGGATGAATTTTTGCCACCATTTAGTGCAGACCAGGTAGAGTCCCTGGTGTGGTTTATTAGAGGATGATGTGGGTTACTTCTTGGAGCATTATGCTGCATGTTCACCACAGACACTAAGAGATTGTATAAACGCAGTGCAGTCATTGACCAGACAGGCTTTGTGTAAGCTCAGCTTTGTTCAACCCATACTGCAGACATGGACAGATTTGTTGCACCCAGCCTCAGTCAGCTTACAAAAACCCAGTCCTGCTTCTAACTCTACTCCTGTATTCCCAACAGCTCCTCCAGTTACAGCCCAGTATACTTGGCTATCTACCGCATGTCAGTACCCTGTTCCCACTCGCTGCACCTATCCTGCCTTTAACCCTGTAAAAAAGCCCTCTGTAGCAACTGCTCCCTCCTCTGTTCCATCCTCCAGTTCTTCTCTGTCTCCAGCTGCTCCATTCGTTTGCAGACCTGCATTTACTTGCAGTGCTCCAGTAGTTAAAACCAGAAAAAAGCGAAAATTCTTTCCAACCAATACCATCCTGCCAGTATCCAAACCGGTGAACCTGCCTTCCGTGGTTCAGCCTGAAGCCTCTACTCAGCCTGAATCCTCTACTCAGCCTGAATCCTCTACTCAGCCTGATGCATGTACTCAGCCTGATGCCTGTACTCAGCCTGATGCCTGTACTCAGCCTGATGCCGGTACGCAGCCTGAAGCCTCTACTCTCGGCCTGAAGCCTCTACTCGGCCTGATGCCTCTACTCGGCCTGAAGCCTCTACTCGGCCTGATGCCTCTACTCGGCCTGAAGCCTCTACTCGGCCTGATGCCTCTACTCGGCCTGATGCCTCTACTCGGCCTGAAGCCTCTACTCGGTCTGATGGCTCTACTTGGCTTGATGCCTCTACTCGGCCTGAAGCCTCTACTCGGCCTGAAGCCTCTACTCAGCCTGAAGCCTCTACTCAGCCTGAAGCCTCTACTCAGCCGGACGCCGGCATTCAGCCTGATGCCTCTACCCAGTGTGATGAACTGATCCAGCCTGAGGATCCTATTAGGCCAGTTGACTCGATGCCCGCTGTTGATCCAGATGATCCGGTACCTGATCGGTGCCCGTTGTCGTGCCAATTGACTCAGAGCCCGCTGTCGTACCTGGTGACTCGGTGCCCACTGCCTTGCCAGATGACTCGGTGCCACTGCCTTGCCAGATGACGCGCTGCCCGCTGGCGAGCCAAAGACCTGATGTCTGGTGACCCAGTGCCCGCTGTCATACCTGGTGACCCGATGCCCGCTGTCGAGCCAGACGATCCAATGCCTGGTGACCCGGTGCCCACTGCCTTACCAGATGACGCGGTGCCCGCTGGCAAGCCAAATGACCTGATGCCTGGTGACCCAATGCCCGCTGTCATACCTGGTGACCCGATGCCCGCTGTCGAGCCAGACGATCCAATGCCTGGTGACCCGGTGCCCACTGCCTTGCCAGATGACGCGGTGCCCGCTGGCAAGCCAAATGACCTGATGCCTGGTGACCCAGTGCCCGCTGTCATACCTGGTGACCCGATGCCCGCTGTCGAGCCCAATGACCTGATGCCTGGTGACCCGATGCCCGCTGTCCAGCCAGACGATCCAATGTCTGACCCAGTGCCGGCGGTCATGCCAGTTGACTCGGAGCCCACTGTCGTGCCTGGTGACTCGGTGCCCGCCGCTCCGCCTGGGGGCCCGAGACCTGTCGCTCCGCCTGGGGGTCCGGCGCCTGCCGCTCCGCGTGGGGGTCCGGCGCCCGCCGCCCCGCCTGGGGGCCCAAGACCTGTCGCTCCGCCTGAGGGCCCGAGACCTGTCGCTCCACCTGGGGGGGGTCCGGCGCCCGCCGCTCCGCCTGAGGGCCCGAGACCTGTCGCTCCACCTGGGGGTCCGGCGCCCGCCGCTCCGCCTGAGGGCCCGAGACCTGTCGCTCCACCTGGGGGTCCGGCGCCCGCCGCTCCGCCTGAGGGCCCGAGACCTGTCGCTCCACCTGGGGGTCCGGCACCCGCCGCTCCGCCTGAGGGTCCGAGACCTGTCGCTCCACCTGGGGGTCCGGCGCCCGCCGCTCCCCCTGAGGGCCCGGGACCTGTCGCTCCGCCTGGGGGCCCGAGACCTGTCGCTCCGCCTGGGGGCCCGCCGCTCCGCCTGAGGGCCCGAGACCTGTCGCTCCACCTGGGGGTCCGGCGCCCGCCGCTCCGCCTGAGGGCCCGAGACCTGTCGCTCCACCTGGGGGTCCGGCGCCCGCCGCTCCGCCTGAGGGCCCGAGACCTGTCGCTCCACCTGGGGGTCTGGCGCCCGCCGCTCCGCCTGAGGGCCCGAGACCTGTGGCTCCATCTGGGGGTCCGGCGCCCGCCGCTCCGCCTGAGGGCCCGAGACCTGTCGCTCCGCCTGGGGGTCCGGCGCGCCCGCCGCTCCACCTGGGGGCCCGATGCCTGTTGCCCCGCCTGGGGGCCCCGATGCCTGTTGCCCCGCCTGGGGGCCCGATGCCTGTCGCCCTGCCTGGGGGCCCGATGCCTGTCGCCCCTCCTGGGGGCCCGGCGCCCGCCGCTCCACCTGGGGGTCCGGGCACCGCCGCTCCGCCTGAGGGCCCGAGACCTGTCGCTCCACCTGAGGGTCCGGCGCCCGCCGCTCCGCCTGAGGGCCCGAGACCTGTCGCTCCACCTGGGGGTCTGGCGCCCGCCGCGCTCCGCCTGAGGGCCCGAGACCTGTCGCTCCATCTGGGGGTCCGGCGCCCGCCGCTCCGCCTGGGGGCCCGATGCCTGTCGCCCCGCCTGGGGGCCCGATACCTGTCGCCCCGCCTGGGGGCCCGATGCCTGCTGCCCCGCCTGGGGTCCCGAAGCCTGTTGCCCCGCCTGGGGTCCTGATGCCTGTTGCCCCGCCTGGGGGCCCGATGCCTGTCGCCCCGCCTGGGGGCCCGATGCCTGTCGCCCCTCCTGGGGGCCCGGCACCCGCCGCTCCGCCTGGGGACCCGATGCCGGTCGCCCCGCCCGGGGGCCCGATGCTTGTTGCCCCGCCCGGGGGGGCCCGGTGCCTGCTGCTCTGCCCGGGGGCCCGGTGCCTGCTGCTCCGCCCGGGGGCCCGCTGCCGCTGCTGCTGCTCCGCCTGGGGGCCCGGTGCCTGCTGCCCCGCCTGGGGGCCCGGTGCCTGCTGCTCCGCCTGGTGGCCCGCTGCCTGCTGCTTCGCCTGGTAATCCGATGTGTCTCTGCCCGAAGTCCTGCCCGATGTGCCTCTGCCCGGAGTCCTGCCCAATGTGCCTCTGCCCGGTGTGCCTCTGCCCGATGTGCCTCTGCCCGGAGTCCAGCCTGATGTGCCTCTGCCCGGAGTCCAGCCCGATGTGCCTCTGCCCGGAGTCCAGCCCGATGTGCCTCTGCCCGGAGTCCAGCCCGATGTGCCTCTGCCCGGAGTCCAGCCCGATGTGCCTCTGCCCGGAGTCCAGCCCGATGTGCCTCTGCCCGGACTCCAGCCCGATGTGCCTCTGCCCGGACTCCAGCCCGATGTGCCTCTGCCCGGACTCCAGCCCGATGTGCCTCTGCCCGTGTGCCGCTGCCCGGAGTGCCTCTGCCCGGAGTCCAGCCCGATGTGCCTCTGCCCGGAATCCAGCCCGATGTGCCTCTCTGCCCGGAGTCCAGCCCCGATGTGCCTCTGCCCGGAGTCCAGCCCGATGTGCCTCTGCCCGGAGTCCAGCCCGATGTGCCTCTGCCCCGGAGTCCTGCCCGATGTGCCTCTGCCCGGTGTGCCGCTGCCGGAGTCCTGCCCGGTGTGCCAGTCTTTGATATCCCGCCAGTTGCCAGACCCGGGCGGTGGAACATTTTGCCCAGCTAGGTCTGTTTGGAGCGTCCTGAGGCCGTTCCTTGAGGGGGGGGGGGGTACTGTCAGGAATGGACTGGCCAGCAATAGTGGGACTCAGCTGCCTTATGAGCTGCAGTACCAGGGCTTGCCAGCGGGTGCTCCCAGCAATCAGAGACTCAACCTTGCAGCCAGTCAAACACCTGGAACTAATTATACTGGTGTATTTAAGGGGACATTCAGACCTGCAGACTCTGCCTTGGTGTTGTGTTTCTCTTGGGCCCTGTATCCTGTTCCTGCTCTCTGTTCCTGTCTGATTCTCTGCTGACCCTGCTCTGATCCCTGGCTTGTCTCTGACCATTCTCCTCTGCCTGACCCTCTGTACCACGCTGCCCGCTACCTGCTGAACCTGGCCTGTGACCCCGACCATTCTCCGCTTGCTCCCCCTGTACCTACCTGCCCCGACTGATATTGACCCGGCCTGCCTGACAACGCTTGCATTGTATGTACTGTTATCTGTGGGTGGTTGGTTGGTTTGTTTGCACTGTGTTATGTTTTAGTATTGCACTGCGTTTATGTTTGTATGGTTAGTGTTAATAAATTACATTGTTTATAACATATCTGAAGTCTGCGTTTCCCTGCGTCAGTCACACACCTCTGGTCATACCCGGGAGCCCTGACAGGGGCACTCTTTATGTCTGGAGGAAAATAAATTTACCGTATTTTCCGGCGTATAAGACGACTTTTTGACCCTTGAAAATCTTCTCAAAAGTCGGGGGTCGTCTTATACGCCGGTACACGTCAGGGGCACTTTTTAGGGGGGCGGCACGGTGCTTCCGACGGAAGGGACACCAAGTACAGAGGTGGGCAGAGGGCTGCAGTCTCTTACCTGGCTCCCACGACGATCCATCCAGGAAGCGCTGCTCCTTCAGTCATTCCGGCCACTCCCTCACTCCTGCCGCTCAACTCCGCCTCCTCACCGGTGATTGGCCGCCAGAACTGTAGCTCAGGAAAGGCACACAGGCGGCCAATCACGGGCGAGGAGGCGGAGCCCGAGCGGACCCGCGAAAATCGAGAGAGGGTAAGTGTGCAGTGCAGAGGTGCTGCTGCAACTGGCTGCAGCAGTACCATACTAGAACAGGAGTCAGCAAGTGTCATTGGTGTCAGTGGGAGGAATAGTGCCCCATCATTGGTGTCACTGATACTAATGATGGGGCATTATTCCTCCCACTGACACCAATGATGGGGCACCATTCCTCCCACTGACACCAATGATGGGGCACCATTCCTCCCACTGACACCAATGATGGGGCACTATTCCTCCCCCCACTGACACCAATGATGGGGCACTATTACTCCCACTGACACCAATGATGGGGCACTATTCCTCCCACTAATACCAATGATGAGACACTATTTCTCCCACTGACACCAATGATGGGGCACTATTACTCCCACTGACACCCAATGTTGGGACACTATTCCTCCTACTGACACCAATGATGGGGCACTATTACTCCCACTGACACCAATGATGGGGCGCTATTCCTCCCACTGACACCAATGATGGGGCGCTATTCCTTCCACTGACACCAATGATGGGGCGCTATTCCTCCCACTGACACCAATGATGGGGCGCTATTCCTCCCACTGACACCAATGATGGGGCACGATTCTTCCCACTGATACCAATGATGGGGTGCTATTCCTCCCACTGACACCAATGATGGGGCACGATTCCTCCCACTGACACCAATGATGGGGCACCATTCCTCCCACTGACACCAATGATGGGGCACTATTCCTCCCCCCACTGACACCAATGATGGGGCACTATTACTCCCACTGACACCAATGATGGGGCACTATTCCTCCCACTAATACCAATGATGAGACACTATTTCTCCCACTGACACCAATGATGGGGCGCTATTCCTTCCACTGACACCAATGATGGGGCGCTATTCCTCCCACTGACACCAATGATGGGGCGCTATTCCTCCCACTGACACCAATAATGGGGAACGATTCCTCCCACTGACACCAATGATGGGGCACTATTCCTCCCACGGACACCAATGATGGGGTGCTATTCCTGCCACTGACACCAATGATGGGGCATGATTCGTTGCTCTGACACCAATGATGGGGCACTATTCCTCCCACTGACACCAATGATGGGACACTATTCCTCCCATGGACACCAATGATGGGACACTATTCCTCTCACTGACACTAATGATGGGACACTATTCCTCACACACTGACACTAATGATGGGGCACCATCATTGGTGTCAATGGGAGGAATAGAGCCCCATCATTGGTGTCAGTGGGAGGAATAGTGCCCCATCATTGGTGTCAGAGTGAGGAAGCGTGCCCCATCATTGGAATACCATACCATATTGAAATCAAATCTGATGTTTTTTAATTTTTGGTGTGCGTTGCAAGAGGGGTAGTCTTATACGGCGAGTATAGCCCAAACCCTATATTTTAACAGGAAAAGTAGGGGGTCGTCTTATACGCCCAGTCGTCTTATATGCCGGCAAATACGGTAATCTCCAAACACGGAAAGGTTTCTTCACAGTAAGAGCTGTGAAAATGTGGAATAGACACCCTCAAGAGTTGGTTCTGGCCAGCTCAGTGAATTGCTTTAAAAAAAGTTCTGGATTCTTTCTTAGATACACAAAATATAACTGAATATAACATTTATAGGTAAAGTTGATCCAGGGAATATCCAATTGCTTCTCGGGGGATCAGGAAGGAATTTTTTTCCCCTGCAGGAGCAAATTGGATCATGCTTTGCTGGTTTTTTTTTTTGCCTTCTCTGGATCAACTGTCAGTATAGGATTATAGCTTTTTTTTTTTAATGGTTGAACTGCATGGACTTTTGTCTTTTTTCAGCCAGACTAAACATGTAACTATATAACATGGGGGGGGGGGTGAGATCTGGGGGCTTTCAGCTTCCAATAAGTCAGCCCCGCACCCCCACAACCAAAGGACCTGGTAAATATTGGGGGGGGGGGGCACTTTTTTTTTTCTTAACCTGCACTTGTTTTGTTTACATTCTGCTGTCCCGGTCCACTCCTTTACATACAGCTATACACAATGACTTTGGATCATTAACAAACGAGTTCTCAAATGTGATGTCATCCAAATGAAATTAATACATTTGGGTTTTTTTCTGTTATAACTATTTTTTTAGATTCATTGCTATTTGCTTCTGTCCATTTGGAAATTTTGATACATCTGAATCTCTGAAAATGAAATTTTTGTTCGAAAAACGAATCAAAATGAAACAAATCACACAAGTCTATCCTTTACTTCCTGCCCCTACCAGAGGCCGGTAATCAAGAGCTGTGATAAAAAATTACATCTAGAGCTACAAAATATAGTTCTTTATTTAGGACAAAGGCAAAGGTGCAGTATAAGGTCACATGCAGAAGTCTCTGGGAATCAATTAATGAACTGATAGACAAACCCAGAGAATGACAAATTCAAAATGACAGAACCAGCCATATAGTGAAGACAATGTCATTTTGGTTATTCTTAATAGGTTGCGCCAAGGGAAATCTCTGAGCAAAATGAGCAGTGAGCATCTTGAACCATTGATACCCAGTTTTTTCAATGAATTAAAAGGTTTGGGGGTGTGGGGCCAGGAAATGTCTCAATTGGGGAACCTAATTAGGGTCAACAAGTTTTTTTGCACTCATATAACAAAACGCTTTAAATTGTATATTTATCAGACCGAACAAAAGTCAATTTTGAAGGTTTGTCAACACTTTAGGATTCCATTGGCACCAACCTTTATCCTACTTTACCACAATGATATTTGTGTCAGGTCCCAGGTCTGAACCTGCAAACTCTGCTACGTTTGCTGAGCCACCTGGGATGCTGGACACCTCCCTGGACAGTTCCTTGTATGATCTTGCCTTGAACATTGTTTCTCTTGCATCTTGAACTCCTTGTTCCTCCCATGAACTTCCTGTTTTAGACATGCCTTTGCACGTCCTGTTTGTCAGATTATTGTGCTGTCTCCAGCCAATGTCTTGCCCTGGTGACTCCTGATGATGTTCATATCTCTGCTACCACTCATTACCAACCTTTGGCTTGCTCCTTGACTATCCTTCTGCTTGATCCCAACCTGCGACCGCTTGTTAACAATCTTTGGCTTGTTTATTGACTACATGTCTGCTGGATCCCTATGTGCTACATCTGGACCCCTGCTTGCTCACCTCCTGGTGGGGCGAGCCTGAGGACTGCGACCTGTACTAACATGCAGCAAAATCCATCTCCACCATCAGAAGCTCTGGTGAATATCGGGCAGTGCTTAGACCTCGGGTGATCCCATGTCATCCGCCAGGATTACCAGCTTCTGAATTTGTCCAGTTGGTTGGTGGGAGCCTCTCTACTGGTATAGCTAGTGGTCTCCAAGCCTGACCTCTGACTATGACATTATGGTTTAAAGAGGTCCTTTATTATGTGTCTAATAAATGTAGCCAGTTCTTACATTCCAGCTCTCTAGAAGGAACTGTCAACATCAATGGGATTGGGATCCTCGAAAGCCAACATAGCCACAATGAAAGATCTTTTGTGTTCTACAAGGAGAATGGATGACATATATTTAAAAACATGGTTTTACTTTATTTCATGATCTCAGCCAAAAACAAAGATTTCCTTTGCTCCATTGGAGCATGAACCAACCAACTACCACCCACCCCCACCACACCTTTATTTTCCATTTTCTGCACTTTTGCAACTTTTGTTCCTCTTTATATCTATAAAAGAAGGGGGGGTTTATTGGACTTCACGGGTAAGATAGGGAGTACAGCAAAGTTATAGTAAAAAATAGACATTTTCATTCTATACACATTAAAATAATACAACATGTATAAGAGACAAGACATAAAATCAATGCTCATTGCACATAATAGTTATGAGACCAGCTGCATATTTTTCAATTATATACACCCTGAATATGTGGGGTGTAACAAAATGCTCTATTACATAGCAACCAATCCTCATGACTCAACGCGTTTCATGATTAAGCTGAAGATAGCATGCAGAATTGTCTGTACAAAAACAAACTGCATAATTATTTCTTTCTATCATTTCTTTATATCATGAGCTTATTTCCCTATGCACTCTCTGTCTCCTGGGTGTCTTCATTTCTAACAATAGTATGCAAATATAGTAAAGATTTTACTTACGTAGCTTATATCAGTGACAGCAATAAGGCTTGACATGATACTTTTCCAAAGCACTTTTTAAGCTGCATGTTCCAACCGTATTCTAGAACAGACAAAATTGAAAACCGTGTGATGTATCTGTTTCTGAGAGTGCCTCTGTCTCTAATAAATCTTAAATAAAGAATTTAAATAAAGGAGACATGGAGGTGGCAATTTTCATATTATCAGAGCTCCCAGAGCGGGGAAATCAAAAAGAACTGGGACACAATTATATTTAGACATTTTGCCATTCTTTCATTGCAGACAATGTACAGCTTATCCTTTAGGTGGAAATTCTTCATTAATAGTATGGAAGGCTGAATATAAAGCCTGCTAGGTGAGACATGCAAACATAAAAGACACAAATTATTTTAGCTGGGTATTCATTAAAGATGAACTTTGGTCTTGTTTTAAACATTTAAAAGCCAGCAACTTAAAGTGTTACTAAACCCACAAGAGTAAAATCAGTCTGTAGATGCAGTAAAGCATGCTTGTTATCAGGGGCGGACTGACCATTTGGAAATTCGGGTCAGTAGGGGGCCCCATGAGATGCCCCTGGCACCTTTTTCATAGGCTTTTTTGAGTTTGGGCAAGGACACAGGTGCCCCATGATCCCCTATTGCCCGGGGGCCCCATGAGTTGTCAGTCCGCCCCTGGTGATGACATCACTGCTACTTTTAAAAAGTAATATCTGGGTTTGAAATGGCATTTAGTACTCACAAAGATTTTATATATATTGTGTTTTTTTAGGAATATGTACCAGTTAAATTTGTTTGTGCCTGGAGTTCAGTTTTAAAGCAGAGCTCCACCCAAAAGGGGAAGTTCCGCTTTAAGGCTTTGTCCCCCGCTCCCCGTAAAAGCAGAGTTCCACCCAAAAAGTGGAAGCTCCGCTTGTTTGGCTCCTCCCCCTCCACTGCCATTTCTGGCACCTTTTGGTGGTAGCAGATACCTGGTTTTGACAGGTACCCGCTCCCACTTCTGGCTCAGTTCACCGCGATGAACTGAGCCAGAAGTTCGGGCCCCTCCTTCCTCCCAAAGTTTGGTCCCCCTCTTTCCTCCCGAAGTTTGGCCCCCTCCTTCCTCCCAAAGTTCGGCCCCCTCCTTCCTCATGAGTTGTCAGTCCGCCCCTGCTTGTTATACTCACTGTGGAACCTAAGGGGTTAATCCTCTGCATTGTGTAAAAAGGATGTTTGGTCCTTTCTTCTCTGATCCTCCGCTTCTTCCACAGCCCCCATCTTATCTACTGATAAGACATATTATGTAGAGTCACTCTGCAAATGCTCAGTTTGGTGTGTATTGCTAGCGAGGTTTTTTTTTTTTCTTGGAGAGTACATGTGATCAGCACAGGGTTAATCAGCACTGTTCATGCAAAGTTCAGGGGTTCTGCATCCTCCTACAGCAGAATGGAAACTCTTCCCACACGCTTTAACCAGTGCTTGTCTGGACACTGATAGAAGTCACAAGACTACTCTAATTTCTGATGAGAAAAGGTATTTAGCAGTTTATATTTACTAAAATAATTGCATTTCTATGTTCTGTGTACTGTAGGAGACCGGATATAGTGAATGCAGGGTCCTGGGAGACTGGATATAGTGAATGCAGGGTCCGGGGAGACTGGATATAGTGAATGCAGGGTCCGATAGACCACATATAGTGAATGCAGGGTCTGGGGAGACCAGATATAGTGAATGCAGGGTCCTGGAGACCAGATATAGTGAGTGCAGGGTCCTGGGAGACCAGATATAGTGAATGCAGGGTCCTGGGAGACCAGATATAGTGAATGCAGGGTCCGGGGACACCAGATATAGTGAATGCAGGGTCTGGGGAGACCAGATATAGTGAATGCAGGGTCCGGGGAGACCAGATATACTAAATGCAGGGTCCGGGGAGACCAGATATAGTGAATGCAGGGTCCGGGAGACCAGATATAGTGAATGCAGAGTCCTGGGAGACCAGATATAGTGAATGCAGGGTCCTGGGAGACCAGATATAGTGAATGCAGGGTCCTGGGAGACCAGATATAGTGAATGCAGGGTCAGGGGAGACCAGATATAGTGAATGCAGGGTCTGGGGAGACCAGATATAGTGAATGCAGGGTCCGGGGAGACCAGATATACTAAATGCAGGGTCCGGGGTTTAGTAACACTTTAAATTGTTGCTGACTATTAGCAAACAGACACTTACCAACCAGGAGTCCAGTGCTGTCTTCACTGGAACCGAACTTTCACTGGGCTTAGGATCTCTGCTGCTCATTTTGGATATGGGAGCTGGCTGTGACTTCCTGATGCCTCATAGCTCGCTCCCTATTGTGCATACAAGAGATCTCCTGGTGCTTTCAGATAGGTCCCAAAGCTGGATGGTGAGAAGGGCCAAGCTGGTAGAAGTGGATGTGGATACCTGTCAGAAAAAGGAACCCCCAGCCAGAAAAAAAAACCCTGCTGGCACTAACAAAGCTACTGTACTTGTAAATGCGAGCAGAAAGGAGGAGTACAAGGGGAACTTTCTTTTTTAAGTGAATGTTTGCTTTAATAAAACTATTACATGCATTTTTAATGCAGCTAGTATAAGTATGTACATTCTGACTTTTTATCAGCATCTTGCAATCCTACATACAGTTGCAATCAGACTGGGGGCGGGAGGGCAGGACTGCAAACCAATAAAATATTCTGCAAAGTAAATGCACAGACAAAAAGCATGCTGAGAGGAGGAAAAAGCAAAGTGATCAGAGAAATAACCTCATCAGTCTCCCGCTACTCCTTCACTGTAAAATTAGCAGACTGGAGGGGAGAGAGGACACTCTTGTATTCTATTATGGAGAAAGTAGTGTCATTTCCCTGGCTGACTGGCCTTCAGTTCTTATGACTGACTGTTCAGAAATACAAATGAGTTTGTAGGTAAAGGTTTCCTTAAATGCATTTCATTCATTAATTTAGCTGTGTTTCTGGTGATCAGCTCAGCCGTCACATGAAGTACACTAAAAACTGAAATAATATTAGTACTTTGGTCAACTCTGAATGCTTATAGAGCAAAATGACAAGTAAAACAGTATTTAAGCTGACAGATGCATTCAATGTGTTTGTTCAACTTTCCACAGAAAATAAAAAGGTGAATTAACACCCTACATCCACCCAACCCCCCGCAGATGGTGCAGTTGTCTGGTGATTTGAAAGCTACCATCTTCTTCCCTGTCTTTCTTTAGGGCTTCCAGGACAGATCATAGAAATTCCAATAGGCCAAATTGGTCACATGCCAGCATTTGAAATATCAGAATCGCTTTAACCAGAATCCCGGAAGTCTTAAGGAAAGATGTGGAAGAAGAGAAAGGCTTTAGTACCTCTGGACTACTGCAATGCCTGTGTGGACAGTGACAGCTAATCACTCATGGAGGTAAGTACAGCGGGGCCCGGAGTGTATACTGCAGTGTTTCTCAACCTTTTTTCAGTTGAGGAACCTTTTAAATTCTGCACAATTGAGGCACCCCATTCTAAAATTAAAAAAACCCCATAGTTTTACATAACACAACAACATCCACAGGCATAGGATACAAACGATTTATTCTTCCAAAGCGAAAACACCTTTTCACACTGGTACTGACTAGTGTAACGCCCTCCAGGTTAGCTAGATAGGTTTTGCTGTTTTCTTTTTTAGAGCAGCAGTCTGGGATGAGCCAGCCTGTGAAGGAGGCAGGAGATCACTTCAGGACAGGCTGGGGGGTTCTACAGGTCTTGGTTTCTGGAGCCCTCCCACCCGTTCAGAATCCAGAGAGCTTTCTGGAACATGGAAGGAGAAGGGGAGGAGACCCATAGCTGTATGTTTGAGGGCCCTCAGCCAATCCTCTGGCAAGAGGCTTGGCATGGTGACCAGGGCAACGCAAAGATATGACAAAGCCTGGGGAGCATGGGAGTTGTGTGTAAGATGGAGTGACAAAAGGCTGGAGTGTGGAGCCTGGGAGGGGGGCCCAGGGAGGGAATCCTACCTACACAGTGGTTGCTGGACAGCAGGATCTCCACTGCCTCAACATCTCCTTGGGAGGACAACTAGTTAGCAGGGAAGGAGCCAGTTCAGCAAAAGACCGGAAAGCAGCCACCAACACACAACACTTACAAGACAGGACAGTGTGAGTCCTCCTACACTGCCTGGGACAGATAATGGGAGAGGATGGTATGGTGCAATACCCAACTAGTCTTCACCTGGACCTGCATAACTGCAAGCTCTTGGGACCCCCTTGTCAGGGATACCCTCAGCACAACTGGATGAAGAGGTTGATTCATCTGGGGTCTGAGGAGGTACACCAAATAAGGGACAGTGCTTTATTTTTGACAGTCCACCCCTCCTTGTACATACAGTAGTTGCTAGGAAGTTTGTCCTCAAGTGCTACAGTTCCTTTGGCATCCCATATACCCCTAGACTCCCTCCAAGTTGTTAACACCTTAATAAAAACAACTAAAAACCAGCTAAGGACTGATTTACTAACTCTGAAAGTACAAGTGTGGAAAATGCGTGTTGCCTGACCGTGCAGAGCATAGGAGCAACCAAACCAAATCCAGCAGCCCTTACAGGGGTAGTGCTACACTGGTGTACACTAGTATAGGCAAGCGGCAAGCAAGGATGCTGTGCAGGCACCCAACATTCTCTTTATCAATTCATGATGTCATTGGTTGTAAGGAAGCTGGTGGCTGGAATGTTGTAATGGTACACAATGAAAACCTGTGGCTTTGTGTAACTAAAAGGCAGACTTGATCCACCCGTAGGCTTACATACAATTTATTGGCAATTTGTAGGCAATTTGCCAAGGCTCCCCTGAAGAAACCTGAATGCACCCTGGGGTCAGGGGTGTATTTACCAAAAGGCAAACAATGCATTTGCCTAGGGTGGCATTTTTCAGGGGGGGCAGCATTGCCCCCCCAGAAGAAGAGAAGGAAGAAGGGACACATGTGGCATGGGGACCAGGTTGGGATCCGAGAGAGGCTGTAGGCTGCTTGACAGTGTATGCAGAGCCTGACTCTCATTTCCAGGGATGTCCGGAGCTGTTAAGGGTGAGTGTCTTCTCTCTCTTGGTGGGGGTGTGGGGGGGGGTGGCCAGTGTATGGGGGGCGGTAGTAGTGGAAAGCTTTTTTGAGTGGGGGGGCAGGAGTGTTGAACGTCAATGTCAGGCTCTCTCCGAAAGGGGGGGCGGGATGTTGATTGGTGTCAGGCTCTTTCTGCGAAGGGGGGGGGCTATTTTAGTGCCTAGGGCAGCACAAAACTTAAATACACCACTGCCTGGGGTGCTCGAGCTCCCTGGTTGAAAAAGGCTGGTATAGGGTATTCATTTTTTGTGAAAAGATGAACTTCCATTTTCAAAGCTGGCAGCGATTATGCTCCTTAAAAGCCCCCAGAGCTAGGAAACGCAGTATGCAGATACTGACTTTCTACTAAAAAGTCAAAGCTAAGGCCTCTCCCTAGCAATATCTGCCTCCCTATAGGAGACAGGGAGCAGTCAGTGAGCCAGAGTTCAACCTTCACAACATAAGGATTCTGTTTGCATATTGATTACCTTGAAATCTGTATGTCAGCTCAAATAAATTAACCTTAAGACAGAATTATTGTAAGTAAATCTGATTTTGTACAGCAGTACATATATACAGTTGTGGCCAAAATTATTCAACCCCCACTGAAATTGAGTGTTTTGGCCAGTTTGACATTGCTTTTGATCATTCAGTCATCTTGCTTACATTTACATTAAAGAGGCACTTGTAGGTCAGACAAATATAACATAACAGTTATAATGAAATAACCACAAATGTCTTTTCTGTGCTCACAGCATTATCAGTTTTATTCAACCCCCAAGTGACATTCAATCTTAGTACTTAGTACAGCATCCTTTTACAGTTATAACAGCTTTTAAACGTGAAGCATAGCTTGACACAAGTGTCTTGCAGCGATCTACGGGTATCTTCGCCCATTCTTCATGGGCAAAGGCCTCCAGTTCAGTCACATTCTTAGGCTTGCGCACTGCAACTGCTTTCTTTAAGTCCCACCAGAGGTTCTCAATCGGATTTAAGTCTGGTGACTGCGATGGCCACTCCAAAATGTTCCAGCCTTTCCTCTGCAACCATGCTCTAGTGGACTTGGAGGTATGCTTGGGATCATTGTCCTGTTGAAAGGTCCAACGTCTCCCAAGCCTCAGGTGTGTGACGGACTGCATCACGTTTCCATCCAATATCTCCTGGTACTGAAGAGAATTCATGGTACCTTGCACACGCTGAAGCTTCCCTGTACCTGCAGAAGCAAAACAGCCCCAAAGCATGATTGACCCTCCACCATGCTTCACAGTAGGCAAGGTGTTCTTTTCATCATAGGCCTTGTTCTTCCTCCTCCAAACATAGCGTTGATCCATGGGCCCAAACAGTTCTAATTTTGTTTCATCAGTCCACAGAACACTATCCCACAACTTTTGTGGTTTGTCCACATGGCTTTTGGCATACTGCAGTCGACTCTTCTTATTCTTTGGAGACAGCAAGGGGGTACGCCTGGGAGTTCTGGCACGGAGGCCTTCATTACGCAGTGTGCGTCTTATTGTCTGGGCTGAAACTTCTGTACCCACATCTGACAAATCTTTTCTCAGTTCCTCAGCAGTCACACGGGGACTTCTCTCCACTCTACGCTTCAGGTAGCGCACAGCAGTCGAAGTCAGCATCTTCTTTCTGCCACGACCAGGTAGCGTTTCAACAGTGCCCTTTGCCTTGAATTTGCGAATGATGCTTCCTAAGGTGTCTCTTGGTATGTTTAACATCTTTGCAATCTTCTTATAGCCATTGCCCTTCCTGTGAAGAGAAATCACCTCTTCTCTTGTCTTCCTGGACCATTCTCTTGCCTTCACCATGTTTGTAACCACACCAGTAAATGTCTAGAAGGAGCTGAGTATCACAGTCATTTTAAAGCTGCCTAATTGGTGCTTATTATGCTTGATTGCTGCTCGGTGACATCCACAGGTGTTTTCAATACCTGATGGAAAGCACCTGTATGAACCTCTGTTCTTCAGAGTGGTAGTCTTTAAGGGGTTGAATAATTGTGGCAATGAAGAAACCACATAAGAACCATTTACTACTGTATTACATAAACAATTGATGTCATTTTAGTTGCATTTGGGTAG